CAGTGGGCAGAGTGTGTGTGCAGCTGTTTACTCCCCCAAGCCACCAGCAGCTCTGGGGGTCCTCTGGAAATGTGGTGTCAGAACCCTGTGCAGGGAGCCAACCACTGGCATCATGGAGGGCAGCGGTGCAGCTCCCTCAGCCTGACCGGTTCATGCTGGGCTCTGGGGCTCCATACACACTTCAGGCCTGCACACAGTCGCACAGGGGATAAGACTTGAAGCTACCTGTGAGATGGGTGGTGGTTTCCAGCCTCAAGGGAAGACCCCCATCTAACCCAGTCCCTTGGGGAAGAGAGGCAGGGCGGCCATGTGGAAGAACTTGGGCTTGGGAGGCAGGGCCACTAGTGCCCCGTCACCGCCACCACCAGAGTCCTCAGGATCCCAAAGAGGCCGTCTGTGAGGTTGCGGGCGTCTAACTGGCCCAGAGAAGTGGGAGCTCTATTTCCCCTTCCTCTGTGGCTTTTCTGAGACAAGTAACAACTGTCTGAAGTGCTGCCCTCCCCCCACCCTGGCATCGCACCTCCCTTTTGGGCTCCAGAGCTCTTTGACTGCCCTGCCTTGGCTCCCCGGTCTGGTTGGAAGGACATCGCTGGCACCACCTGGCAGCTGTGCCAGGCCAAGCACACCTCTCTGAGCAGCGACATCGGTTGGCTTTGTGCATGGGAAGCAGGAGGCTTGGAGGGGCTCAAGAGGCACTGTGAGAAAGTGGAAAGCTCAGCCGTGGTTCCTGGGTTCTCAGCAGCCAGCGTTTGTAGAGCCCCTCTGTGGGGGGCCTGGGTACCCCAGCGGGCGTCTGCAGCGTGGCCGCAGCCTGGGCTGGGGTCCCCACCACGCCTCACCTCCAGCAGCAGGCAGTGGGCTCGCAGCCAGTGAATGTGGGGGAGAAACCAGCTGATAGGCAGGCTTCCACCACTTCTACCTCCTGCAGGGGCGTCTGGAGGCTGCTGCTCCCCGGAGTTCCTGGGGTGGGGACGGGGAGTTCTGCTCCACCCACTCAGACGTCTTGCTGGGTCTGTGCTCCTCCTGCCTTCCACTGTGGAAGGACGCTTGGACGCTCGCTGCTCCCTGGGCACTGGGCGAGATGCGAGCACTGCTGACTTTCCCATGCTGCCGCCTGCCAAGCCTCCCCATCCCCCGTGGCCTCCAGGTGGTCTATGCAGCCAGTGGCTCTGGGTCTGAATGCAGTGTGCTCCCTGCCATGTGCCAGCCTGGCGGGCACCACGCAGCACTGCACATAATGCTGCTTCGTGAGTGATCAGGAAAAGGCTGCATCTAACCTTCGGCCGTGCAAATCTAAGTCCTTGAGCATGGACCTTCCACGCCAGGACAAGAAAATGTTTGGCCCTTGTGCCCCCTGCCCTCTCCCCTTCCCTCGTGACGTTCTGATGTTCGGTGTGAGAAAAGGAGAGTCGAGCCCAGGAGGAAAACCCCAGAGCCTGTCTCCTGGGCCCCTGCATTCGGCACTTCCAGGGCCCAGGTGTGCTCCTGGGGCTGAGGCAGATGCAGGGAACACCACTGGGGCAGCGCGCTGTCTGGGACCTGAGTCACCAGTCAGGAGGGGACGCGCAGGGGGAAATGCGGTGATGTCGCTGCACGGGGAGCCAAAGGCTGGGCTCCAGCTGCGTCTGTTGTGTGAGATGCCCGAGCCAGAGCAGAGATAAGCATCCAGGCCTGTCTACGGGGCCGCTCTGCCTTCTGCTGAGCTGTCTCCCTCCCATGCTCGTTGAGTTTTTCCTCCAGTGCTTCATTGTGGGAAACGCCATGCAGGAGCAGGCCTCGGCTTAGAAGCTAAGCTGCCCACATCCCACGTTGGAGTGCCCAGGTTCAGCACACTCCTGAACCCCTGGTTGAGGTCAAAATGGGTGACTTCCTCATTCACAAACCCGGAATAAAACAGGGTGGGCGCCCTGCCTGGCTCCTGAGGTGACTTCCTCATTCACAAACCCGGAATAAAACAGGGTGGGCGCCCTGCCTGGCTCCTGAGACAGTGAGGTTCCAAGGAAAGCGTGCACCAGCATCGCTGTGTGCGTCGCCGGCAGGGCCCTCGCACGGCTGCTGGTGCTGAGGAGCCGAGCCTGCTAGGGCCCTCCTCTCTCCCTGGACACCACTCGAGGTTTCCCCCGTGGCTTTGGAGGCTGAGTATCCCTCTGCCCAGTCCCTCTTTCACTGCCCTTCAGATAGAGCGTTAACCCAGGTCTGTCGGCTGTCTTCTTTGGATGTAGACTAGGCTTTCTCCATAGACTGTCTCCTTATCCCACTTATTTTTTTAAAATATTTATTTGTTTATTTAAAAGTCGAGAGTTACAGAGAGAGGGAGAAACAGAGAGAGATCGTCCATCTACTAATTCACTCTCCAGATGGCCACAACAGCCAGGGCTGGGCCAGCCCAAAGCCAGGAACCAGGAGCTTCATCTGGTTGTCCTACATGGGTGACAGGGGCCCAAACACTTGGGCTGTTGTCTGCTGCTTTTCCCAGACCATTAGCAAGGAGCTGGATTGAAAGTGGAGCAGCCAGAACATGAACTGGTGCTCAGATGATGTGCCGGCATTGTAAGAGGTGACTTTACCTGCTGTGCCACAACATTAGCCCTTCCTCATCCCAGCTCTACAACTGTGGCTTGCATCTCTGTTCCAAACCCCAAATCTACATTCCAGGGACACCTGGAGGTCACCATTAGTGTGTCCTATGTGGATACCTCGAGTTCCCCTCTGGATTCATCACTTCCTGCCCAGGCCTGGCCCAAGTTCCCTCTCTCAGTGACCAGTGCCCACTGTGTGCCCAGATGCCCCCAGTAGCATGTGTGTCCAGTAGCTTCTGGGGTTGTGTGCAAGGTGGATGTGCCTCCAAGGCCTCAGGGGTTAACCAGACATGACTCCCGGAGTCTGTCCTTGGGGACGTGCTCTCACCTCCCCTGTGGCCCCTGTGTCTCTGTGTTCCCCTAGCAATCTCGGTACAATCCGCAGGTGCTCAGGACTGCTCCTCTACCCAGTCTCCTCCCAGCCTCAGCTGTCTCTAGGGCCCACCTCCCTGTCACCTTGGCAGAAGCCTTCCCTGAACAGTTCCCACCCTGCTTAGGAACTTGTTCGGTGTCCCTCACACTGGGGCCCCTGGGCATCATGGGGCTACCTAGGAGTGGCCGTGCTGAGTGTGCGTGACCTTGGGGCTCAGCCTCCCCAGCTAGGAGCCGCCTGAATCTCAAGACCCAGGCTTGGCCATGGTGCCTGTCCGTTCTGCTCAGACTCTTCTGGTGGGCTTTGGTAGGTGCCCGTCATCACAGGCACTTCCTTCTGCTCGTCTTCCTGGGAGGGGGAATGTGGTCTTTTTGTCCTTTTTTTTGGACAGGCAGAGTGGACAGTGAGAAAGAGACAGAAAGGTCTTTCTTGCCTGTTGGTTCACCCCCACTGGTGGCGGCATGCTGTGGCTGGCGCACTGCGCTGATCCGAAGCCTGGAGCCAGGTGCTTCTCCTGGTCTCCCATGGGGTGCAGGGCCCAAGGACTTGAGCCATCCTCCACTGCCCTCCCTGGCCACAGCAGAGAGCTGGACTGGAATAGGAGCAACCGGGACAGAATCCGGCGCCCCGACTGGAACTAGAACCCGGTGTACCGGTGCTGCAGGTGGAGGATTAGCCTATTGAGCCACGGCGCCGGCCTGTCCTCTTCTTAAAAATGGAGTTGATGGCTGGTGCCGTGGCTCAGTTGGTTAATCCTCCACCTGCGGCACTGGCATCCCATGTGGGCACTGGGTTCTGGTCCTGGTTGCTCCTCTTCCAGTCCAGCTCTCTGCTGTGGTCCGGGAGGGCAGCGGTAGATGGCCCAAGTGCTTGGGCCCTGCACCCACATGGGAGACCAGGAGGGGGCACCTGGCTCCTGGCTTCGGGTCGGTGCAGCGCTGGCCATGGCAGCCATTTGGAGAGTGAACCGGTGGAGGGAGGACTTCTCTCTCTCTCTCTCTCTCTCTCTCTCTCTCTCACTGTCTGTAACTCTACCTGTCAAATAAATTTTTTAAAAAATGGAGTTGAAATTCACAGAACAAAATTTGCCTTCCTAAAGTATACAGTTTCTGAGCAGTTAGGGTGTTCACATTGTGCCAGCACCATGTCTATCTAGTTCCGAACATCTCAGACCCCAAAAGGCACCCCCAGGTATGATTCCACTTCAGTGAGGGGTCTCGAACAGTGAAACCCAGAGCGCAGACCTGTGCTGTGCAGTGCTGTGCCTGTGGGTAGCAGTGCGGTGCTGTGCACGTTAAAGTGCTCTTGCTTAGAGGATGATGTGTTAGGTGTTCTCACCAGCAGTAAAACAAAAAGAAAACTCCCCTCACCCACAAAGCAGTCGCTCACTTCCCCTGCGCCGAGCCCCAGCCTCCTCCCCGTCTCTGCATTGTGTGTCCTGGACATTGCACACGCATGGAACACACGATAGTGACCCGTTGTGCCTGGCTTCACGCACCAGCCACATTTTCAAGGTTCGTCCATGTTGCCGCTGAGCCGTGCCGTGCTGTATGAACAGAGCACTGTTACCTGGCCATCAGTGGGTGGACACCGGGTTCTTAACATGTTTGGGCCATTACGAATTGTGCTGCTGGGAACATTCATGTACCAGCATTTGCTTGATACCTGTTTCTCCCACCTGTTCTTGCCTCATACTACGTTCCGCTCCCACAGTTTTCCAATTAGAAACCGGTGCACCTGGGCCGTGTGTGTTTAGGGGAAAGTCCATTGAAGGAGACAGCTCACCTGCTGCTGCCTCTGCTACCTGTCTTTCTCCAAGTCTTGTTCATCCTCCGTGGCCTGGGGCTTCAGTTAATCCCGTTTTGGCTCCAGCTGCTTAACGTGTCCTGTCTCCGCTGTGAGGGTCTTAAGGTCAAGGTCCCGCTCAGACTTCTGTGTCGCATGACACAGGTTGAGTCACCCACGCAGTCCCATCAGCCCCTAGGCCTGCCTCTGCCTCGGCACCACCTGCCCACTGATGTCTCCCCTGTGCTCTGTTGCCCTTGCAGACGACGTGCTGACGAAAGACGCGGGTGAGTGTGTGATCTGCCTGGAGGAGCTGCTGCAGGGGGACACGATAGCCAGGCTGCCCTGCCTGTGCATCTATCACAAAAGGTAGGAGGGCGGGGGCCGGCCCAGCTCCTCTGAGCCAGCAGCTGTTCTGTGCGCTCTGGTTGTGGAACGGTCTCCCCTCCCACCAAGGGGTCCTAGAGGGGAGGGCTCCACTGTGCCCACAGGAAGGTGGGAGCGTCCCCAGCCACTTGCCAGCGGGGTCTTTCTGGTGGGATGGCGGGAACGGAGGCCCTGCAGCTCCGACCCGCAGGGTCTTCCTGAGCCTCCTCTTCCTCCGTAGCCCCCTCCGCTCTGTGAGGTGAGAGGCAGCGAGGAGGGCGTGCTCACTGCCCTGCGCGCACCTTCTCCCTCCCCAGCGGCCAGGCGGCTGGAAGAGCCGCTACCTGTGGTGCAGGGCACAGGAGTGCTATAATTAGTGGGGCTGAGATTCGTGCAGGGCTCCAGGAGCCTTGTTCTCATTTCCAACTGGAAAGACGCTGCTCCGTTGCCCAGTTCGGGAGGATGCGCTGTGCGCCTGTGAACACTGCTGCTGCTCTGCAGCTCCTCGAGGCCGGAGCTGCTTCCTGCTCGGAGGGCTTTTCCAGGCCTCCTCAGGGCCACGCGGCACCAGGGTGACAGCCCTGCCTGGCACAGACGTGGCTGGTGCAGGGGAGGCTCATGGATGGCCAAGGTGGGGGAGTACAATTCTGGGTATGGATCCCAGCACAGAACCTGCAGTGTCCCAAGGAGGTACTAACCAGAGTTTCTAGAAAAGGAAACTCTGGCCCTTCTGAAGGTTTCAGCAAATTGTCTGCCTGGTTCCTGTCTTTGAAGTTGTCCAGACTTTGGTTTACAAATCAGGAAGTTGGCTCGGGCAGTCTCAGTTCCTCTTTGACACAGACACTCAGAGTCTGTGACACTCAGGCTGTCAGCCTTTTCCCTGGGTTGCTTTGTTAGCAAAGGGCCAGCCCCTCTTCCCACCTTCTCTGGGAACAACTTGGTGCCCAGCCGAGCCAGGTGGAGCTTGGGGCTCTCCTAACAGGTCGCCTGCTGGGGAGGGAGCCAGCCCCACGCTGCTCTTTGACCCAAGAAGGGACTCTCCCAGGTCCACAGCGACTGGAGCCATGGGCAGGTCCACCATTCTTTGCTCCACTTCTCTGCCCTTAAGCTCTGGACATGGTTGATTCTCAGCATGGGGGCTGCCCTGCACAGTCTGCCTACGTCCCCTTCTCACTGGGGGCTGTGCTGCCCTCCTGGGCCCCCTCATGGCCACTCCCCCTGCTCCTGCAGTGCTAAAAGCCTGTACCCACTGTTGGCCGGCCAGTCAGCCTTGGGCTGAGCCGGCCTGTGTCTTGGTTTCTCCTTTCTCCCTGCCTCAGAGAGTGGCATGTGATTGTTCTCTCCTGGAGTCCTTTTCGGGGGCGATGCAGGAAGGCCTTGCTCGGGGAAGCCTGAGGGTCTCCTGACCCTGGGAAAGCGCCCCCTTGGAGGGAGCGGCCTGGCTAAGGTGCTTTCCTCTTGCCACCCTGCCCCTAGCTGCATAGACTCGTGGTTTGAAGTGAACAGATCTTGTCCAGAACACCCTGCGGACTGACCCTGCCGGGCTTGCTTGCTGACTGCTCTCAAAGGTGAGCCCGTGAGTGGGGTGCTTCAGCTCCAGGCTCGGGGTCGTGTCACTGGGGGGTGGGGAAGCTGGGCTGCCCTTACACACCCCACCAAGAAGGGAGCAGGAGCGAGGCGAGGCACGTCTTAGCAGGTAGTCGTCCTTCAGAGATGGGGCCCTTAGGAAGGACGAGCACGGAATGGCATGTGTGTGGATATGACGCATGCGCAGGGTTGGAGTCAGTGGGGCTGAGTGAGTTCCAGTCTGCCTGGGGAGGGTTCAGAAAGATCCCCCAGCTCACGCCCTGGGCCAGCCGCTGAGCCTGTGCCCACCTCTGCTTGGCCCTCCCGCAGTGCCCTGGTACTGGGGGGATGACCCCCTCCCTGTCGCTGTAGGTATGTGGCCCACACTCAGCAGACAGCCCGTGGGCCGGTGCCTCATCCACGGCACAGCCTTGTCAGCGATGGCTTTGCTGCTGGTCCTTCCACCTGCAGGCCACCTCCCTCACCCATCACCCCGCTTCCAGATGAATCAGGCCTCCGGGCCAGACCCGGCCCTGTGCCTTCCCAGGTCTGGGCTGGCATTTTCCTGGCGAACGAGTGGGCAAAAGCCCCAGGGAAACCACAAGCCCAGCCCCACCTCACCTCCCTCACGCCCAAAGGTTTGGGACCTCTTTTTTCCTTCTCTCTTTTTCTCTCTCCTCTTTCTGTTTTGTTTTCTATTGTTAGGTTTATTTTATTTATTCCAAGTAACCTCCCAGAACAGCTGATGATGTCAGACAAATCAGGGACATGTGCTCTTTTTACCTTCACCTCAAAAACTGATGGCAAGGGGAGATGAAAAAGCGAGGGTGAGAGTGAGGCAGAGGGAGCGGAGCCCGGCCCGGCAGTGCAGGTCCAGATTCCGGCATGATGTTTGGCCTTGGGGCCCTGCCCAGACCGAACCACAGACGGCCCCGGCTGCCTGCCTTGGCGGGATGCGGCGGCCGGCCCGCGGCCAGACGGAGCACGGCTCACTCATTGCGGTCCACACAGGGACGGGCGGCCCCTGTTCCCGAGAGGAGGCTCACCGGACACAGGGGCAGCGCTGAGCTTGGGACACCAGTGGGAACAGGGCCCCCCTTCTGCACTGACTGCCAGGAAGTGGCCCTCCCTTCCTCCCTGAGGACGCCAGGTTGGCTGAGAGCGCGTTGAGAAGAGTGACTGCACCGCTGTCCTTCCCTCAGCCCGCAGCCCTCGGCAGGGGAGAGGGGGTCTTCTTTTTCACCTTTGAAAGGCATTGTGGGTCTGTGTTTAAAGTGTTTACAAAAAAAAATTATTTAAAAAAAGTCTAGTGTCGACTGGTGTTTTCCCTCGTGACGTTTACAGAGCGCTGTTTGCTGCCCGCTGTCACCTGCTCAGCCAGGGCGAGCCCGGCCGGCCCTCTCCCCGGGGTCCCTCTCCGTGTTTCTGGCTTGGTTTTGCATTTCTCCCCCCTGGGGACCCCGGAATCTTGACTTCATTGCCAAAAGAAAACCCCGTCAAGGACTCTGTCCCCACCGCCACGCCCGTGTCTTCCCCCTTCTTTCCTCCCGGTTCCGGTCAGTGTGGAGGGTGTAACGATCACAAGTGTCTTGCAGAAATGCCTGAACATTTTTCTTAGGCCCTTGTGGAATTTTTTTTTCTTCTCCAGGAAACTTAAACAGACTTCCTTAAAGAAATGTGTACAAGCAGCCGTGTTTTCAGGCGCTCCGTTTGAGAACTTTTAGCCCTGGGGGTTCACGCATGGCATCAGCCCATGCCAGATAGGTTTCTGTATTTATATATTAAAATAAAAAAAAAAAAACTTAAAAACGTTTAAAAAAATGTTCAGAGCTTGGGAGAGAAGCTTTCTTCACTAGTCGAGGTGTTTTGATATGGTATTAAAATCACGTCTAACGAAAGATGCACTGTGTGATTCTATTTTAATGAAGTATTGTCATACAGCCACGAAATGGGGCCGAGCCTGCTCCCCGCTCCCTCACTACCTCCTTAGCGTTCCTTCGGGCCCTCTGTGGGGCTGCAGGTGTGTGAAGTGCTTCTCAGACTGTCCTCCCTGGGAGGAGGACAGGTGACGACGGGTCAGGCAGGTGTCCCACGAGGCGACGAACCCTTGGACGTGAGCACCATGGAGCCAGCCTTCCGCTGCTGCGCAGAGCTGGTGACGGGACTCTTCTGCGAAGATGTGCAGGAGCAGTGATCTGGCAGCCACCAGAGGCTGCAAGGACTTGGGTTCTTCCACGGCCGGGCCCAGCCCCCCCAGCCTCCGCTCCCCATCCCAAGCCCCCCAGCCCTGCCTGTTGCTCTGTTCGCATCTCAGTGCTGACTCACGGGCATGCTCCATGGTGGCCCAGGAAGAGGCCCTGGTTTGGGGCTGAGCCAGCTCAGAGCCCTTGAACCAGAACCAGCCACCCCAGCTCACAAAAGTTGCCAAAGCTGGCCGGAAGATCAGGGCAGGGGAGCAGCCGCTCCTGCCTGGCCCCTGGCCCTGGCCAGACAGGCTCCGGAGTGGCCATCCTGAGCCTCCCACAGAGCCTGCAAAGGAAAGTGCTGGAGGGAGATGGGAGACGACCCCGCGCCTTCTCTGCCCCACCATTGCCAGGCCGGCCCCTGGTGCTGTTGCCTCGGGGCTCCGGCGCCTCCAGGCCCAGGGGTCTAGCTGGGCCTGTGGGCTCCACCTCCACAGCCACCTCCCTCAGATGCTTCCTGAAGCACCTGCTGTGTTCGAGGTGTTCACCCCCGGCCAGTGGGGCACGCACAGCATCTCAGATGTGCCGAAGGAGTTTGCAGGCCTCCGCCTCAGCCTCGGACCGGCCTGACATGGAGACCCCAGGACCCACAAACGCCATCGTGAGAGTCAGTGGCAAGAATGGGGGTTCCAATAGTTTGCACTGGGGCCCTCTGCTTCCTGGCAGAATGATCTGGGGGAAGGACTGCGTTCACCTGAACCTCGGCATCCTCACCCGTGGAGTAGGGACCGCGTCACGCAGCTCAGAAGTCGCCAGGAGGGTCAGGGGACCTGCCCCGAAGGCCTGGCACATGCGCAGCAGGCTCCCTGGTGGCTCTGTCGCTGCAAAGGGCACTGTTCTATTCACAGCACCTCCTGCTTCTGCCTGGCAACTGTGTCTCCCTGTTCTATATTTAATTCCACCAGCAAAGCTGGCGGGGCAGGGCCCAGCTCTGAAGGAGATCTCCTTGCCTGACCCCTGGACCTGGAGACGGAGGCCGTGCGCGTCCACCTCGGCGGCTTGGCTTGAGCCCGGCTGCTTTGGCAGCGCTGCCAGTGGCCAAGCAGCTTGTTGAGCTGTGTGGGGCAGGGTCGTGGCCCACACTGGGTGCTATTCCAGGCTCTTGGGGGCTGGTGCTCACCCCTCAACTCTAACCACCCCCCACCCCACCCCCGCCGCTGACTTCCGCTCCCGCCTGGCACACCGCAGCCCTCTGCTGGCTGTCACGTCCTCTGAACTTGACCCATGGGTGGGACTGGCTGTGTGGGCTCCCCCCATAGAGCTGGTGCTGTCCTCCTCCTCCTGCAGCGCTCCCAGAATCCTGTGCTGCTCCTGCTCTGCCCTGCCAGGGGAGAGAACCTGCTGGAGCAGGGAGGTGCGTTCTGCCCCCTGTCTGCTAAAGGTCTGGCTCACTTTCCTGGGGTTCCTGGACAGGAGCCGCTCACTAAGACCATACATCTAATAGCCATTTACTGGTATTGAGGTTTATAGGCGAATGTCCTTATTAGGAGATGGATGATGAATTATATAGGTGAATGATTTCAAGAAATGTGTAATCTAATTCTGAGTGGTTTCCCCCCAAAAAAATACATACACAAAGCAAATAAGGCAAAATGTTCGTTGTTTGAATTTGCAGTGGCTGCTGTTTCCGTGAACGGTGTACTTGTTCTTTGAACTTTTCTGTATGTTTGGAATTTTTCTTAATAAAAAAAATATTGTGGGAAAATGGCCATTTGCTGAGCACCTCACTAGCTGCCAGGCACTGGGGGGGTCGGGGGGCCCGTGTTGCGGAAGAGACAGGCTGTGACGGCTGGTGGCGGACAGTCTGCAGAAGGGGGAGGGGCCGGGGGGCCGCGGCTCCACAGTTGGATTGCTCAGGTCCTGGGGTGGTTGGGGGAAGAGGACCAGTGAGACTGGTCACCAGACTACCCTTGGCACAGCCTCTGCTCACAACCAGAGCAGCCAAGGGACAGAAATGTCACCGGAGCGTGTCCTCAAGGCTTAGGTCAGTGTCACTGCCCTCTGCGAGAGCCCAGTATTAGCACAGGAGAGGGGATCCTGGGACCAGGATTGGACTGAGGAGTTGCAGGGACACTCCCTCAGCCCAGGGCCTCAATGGCTGCTGGGAGAGATGAGGCTCCAAGGGGTGGGGAGACAGGAAGGGCGCTCCCAGGCTAGCAGGAGGATGCCTTTCTTACCCCTTTTCTAAGGAGCCCAAGGCGCAGAGGTGAGGGAGATAGGATAGGTACAAGTCCCTGGGGCCTCAGAGATTGTTCCAAGCTCCTAGGCCCCTCCTCTACCCTGGGAGGAGAGCCACTGGCCCTGAACTTGGGGTGGGTTTTCTGCAGCAGGTGCCCAGAGCAGATGCTGTGGGACTGAGCTTCGTGGTGTCGGGTGCCCTCTTGTGGGCTCACAGGGAACAGCTATCTAGTACCTGAGAAGAGCTCTGGCCAGGGGATCCCAAGACAGGCCCAGGATGGACGGAAACTCGACTTTGAAAGCAAAAGTGCTCAGGGTGCCAGTACACTGCTCCATAAGGAGTGTGGCCCAGTTCTAGCAACAGGGAGCTGCAGCCGCTTGAAGAATGTTCACAGTATTAGCGCCTGGGGGACTCGAAGTGTCTGCCGGGGACGGGGAACTAACTGGCGTGCTTCCCACCCCCAAAGCCCTCTCCCCAGGCTGCAGCAGGTCAGTGTACAAGCCCGAAACCATGGTGGCACCAGGCTGGCCAGAACTGGGAGGAGAAGGTGGGGACGGGGGTGCTGCCTGCCGGTGTCCAGTAGCTGTAAGCAGGGTTCAGGCGTCTTGGGCTTTGAGGAAAGCTCCCACCAGTGCAGAGAGAGGTCCTTTCCCGTCACGGGAGAGGAGTGTTCCTGTCGTCCTGCCTCGGGTCTGGGCCCCTAGCAGTGAGGAGGCCTGAGGGCATCGGGTGGGCTCACCCTGGCGGTCCCACCCAGGAAGGGACGTGTGACAGCAGGGAGCAAGCAGCTTCATCAGCAGCCAGCCTGAGTCACTGGCTGGACTGAAGGCCTGAGGCAGGAAGAGGGCAGGGGAGGAGCCCTGTCCATCCTTGCAGGCTCAGTGCGTGACGGGAGTTTCCAGAACATGGGGGCTCACCGAGCTCCTCACAGCACCTTGCCTGGGTTCATGAGGCCTCGGGGGTCTAGCGTGGCCTTGAGCTGCCGCATGGTCTCCAGGCCCACAGGGCCCACCTCCTCCCGCAGCAGCTGCCGCTTGCCCAGCCCGATGCCGTGCTCCCCGGTGCAAGTTCCGTGCAGCGCCAGTGCGCGCCTGGGAGACGGGAGCCATCCTCAGCCCTTCTTCCCGAGCCCTCCCCTCCCCCTCCCTCCCCAGGCCGGGCCCCCACCTGCCCAGTTCTTCCGCGAAGGCCTCGACCCTCTGGAGCTCGTCAGCATCCTCCGGGTCGACCAGCAGGATGCAGTGGAAGTTGCCATCGCCCACATGCCCGACAATGGCTCCTGGGGACTCCAAGAACAGAACCGTCAACTCCAGCCCAGCCTCCTGCCCCCCCCCACTCCCCTGACCCAGACCCAGGCAGCGGTCAGCACCACCCCTGACTCCAGGAGCGAGCAGGCCGAACCTGTGAGTCCTGAGGCCTTGAGCTCCTCCTTGGTCCGCACCAGGATCTCCGGCAGCCGGGAGATGGGCACACAAACGTCGGTGGAGTAGCCCTGGGTCAGACAGTGGCCGCTGAGGTCCCCCCTGCCCTGCCGCCCACACACACACCAGGCACTTGGCCCAGGTGTGTTCCCCAGGCCCTGGGCTCCTGCCGTTCTGACCTGGCTCCATCGGGCCCCTGTGCAGGTCCCCCAGCGCCCCCTATTTCTGAGCTTTGCATCAGCTGCCTGGAGCCAGGGTTGAGCTAACACCTTCCTCTCCGTCACTTCCTCCAGGAAGTAGGTCCTGAGAGCCCCACACTTTTGCCCAGGGTTTAGCAGGCCCATACCTCGATGGGTGAGTCTGTCACCCCAGGCCATGCACACTGTGGGCTGCAGCCCACTGCTCCATACAGTAGGGCGCTGAATTGACAAGGTCATGAGCGGAGCTGTGAGTCTCCCCTCCACCCCGACTCACCTTACAGCCGGGCCGCAGGGCCAGGACCGCGTACCAGGCGTTGTGCCGTGCTGCCCAGAGCCGGCTGCGCTCCTCGGACTCCTTGGCCCAGGAGAAGTGGGAGGCCCCGTTGAGCTGGACGATCTCCTCTATGATGGGGGCAAGAGGGTCGACACCAGCCCTCCCCTGGGCAGCTCAGGCCCCAGCCCTGTCCCCGCATACCTGCCCGCTGCACTTGCTCTTCCAACGCCTGCTTGGAACCGTGGAACTCCAGAAAGAGCGTGGGTGCCACGGAGCAGTTGAGCTTGCTGTATCTGTTGCAGGCATCCATCATGATGTCATCCAGGAACTCTGGGAGCAAGCAGAGGGCCGGCTTCCAATGGGGCCTCTTCCAGGGTGCACACCCTGACTGCCCCAGTCCCCCACTCACCGATGCGGGCCACAGGTACTGCAGCCTGGAGGATTTGCACAGTGCTGTCCACAGCAGCCTGGACACTGGGGAACGCACAGGTGGCAGCCACCGTGGCCTCAGGCACAGGGTGCAGGCGCAGGGTGGCAGCTGTGATGAGGCCTAGCGTACCCTCCGAGCCCACAAAGAGCCCTGTGAGGTCATAGCCAGCTGCACTCTTCCTGTACAAAGTGAGGGATTTCTGTCTGGCCCCAGAGCCTGCAGCTGGAACCCAGAGCGCTGTCCCCAGGTCCCCAGGTCTGGGGCAGCCTCCCTCAGCCCCGATGGCCACAGAGGCAGCCATCCCCCAGCCCAGTGCTCTCGGCTCCACCACTGGAGTGGGCCCCGTGCAGCGACAGCAGACCCCCGAGACGGTGCCACAGCCCTCGGAAGCCTTGCCCACCTGCAGAAGGCTGAAGGAGGGAAGCCCCCAGGGCTCGAGGCCGCAGGCTGGGGACAGGGTGCTCACCGGGAACGCCGGCCCCGGCCCGCAGTGTGCAGCAGCCGCCCGTCGGGCAGCACCACCTCCAGGTTAAGTACGTTATCCCGCATGGTGCCGTAGCGCACAGCGTTGGTGCCGGAGGCCCCCGTGGCCGCCATGCCGCAGAGAGAGGCATCGGCACCTGGATCTGGAGGGTGGCGTTTGAACAGAGGCCAACTCAGGGCCGGGTGGGAGAGGAGGGCTCCCCCTGCCTCCAGGGAGCCCTCGGCGGCCCTAGGCTTACCCACAGGAAACCAGAGGCCGCTGTCGCGCAGGTGGGTGTTGAGAGCTTTGCGCGTGACACCAGGCTCCACCACCACAGAGAAGTCCTCTGGGTTCAGTTCGGTGATCCGGTCCATGTGCGTCAGGTTGATGCAGACCCCACCCTGGCGGGAGGTGTCAATAAAGCCACTGGCTTTGGTCTCCCACCAGCCCACGGTCCCCTGCACCCCACCCTGGCTGAGCACCCAGAGCAGGTGGCCGGGGGGCCCAGGATGGCAGGCAGGGCTGGCCCACAGCAGTGTGTGCTGCAGGAGGCAGCCACACCTGTGCTGAGTGCAATGCGGCCGGACCCTGGGGCAAGAGGGTGCCCAGCTGTACCTGTGTGGCGCAGACTCCTCCCTCAAGCCCGGTGCCGGTGCCGAAGGGGATGATGGGCACTCCCTGGCCATAGCACAGGGCTGCCAGCCGGCTGACCTGGTCCGTGCTCTGGGGCCACACCACGGCATCTGGCGGCTGGCACCTGCAAGCAGTCCTGGGCCAGTCAGAGTGCATGGGCCCTGCTGGGCCTGGGACCACACGGAGGACCGGGGATGGAGAACACCAGCACCCAAGGCAGGTAGGTGGGCGGGTGGGTGCGGTGGTGGGGAGGGGGACCCTCCCTCACCTGTGCATGGACTCATCGTGCCCGTGCTGTTCTCGCACCACGGCGGCGGTGGACACGTGGGGGCTTCCCACGACCGCCTTCAACGCCTCCACGAAGCCCTCGCTGAGCGCTCCCTGCGGGAGAGACACACCACCAGGGTCACCGAAAGACGCCCGGGGCCACAGCCCGGCCCCTCTCACAGGTGGCTGCTCAGCTCGGCCCCTCTCCTGTCCACCGCCTACCTGCGTCCCCTTGGAGCAGTAACCCCTCCAGGGAGACAGCCCCCCGCGGGCCACCCGGAGCAGGCAGGCCATAGCCAGACAGCGACCAGGCAGCAGTGGGCAAGTGGCCTCCGAGCTCCTCTGCCCAGCCCATTGGCTGAGTCGGGGGTGGGGCCTGCTTAAGGTGGCCCCGGTTTAAGGTGGTCCCTGCAGCCCTTGCTTAGTTGGGGGCGCCAGGGTCAATACTTCCCAAGGAGAGGTGAGGCTCACCAGAAATTTCAGGAAACAGAGGGACAGCAGCCACTCCCTGGCTTACAACTCAGCCAAGGCTTCCCGAGGCCCCGAACAAATGCAGGCTCCTTGAGGAGGCTGGAACAGTCCTCTTGGCTCCTCCAGCCTGCTCTTTGACCGCCAACGTCCAGCTAGCTTCCTTTCCTGTTCCTGTATGCCCTGAACTCCAGGCAGACCCTGGGGCAGGGCACAGGCTGTGCCCTCGCCGGAGCCTCCTGCAGGTCTCAGCACAGTGTCACAGTTAGAGTAGGCGCCCACCATAACCGGGGACCTCAGGGATGGGCGAGGACAGTGAAACAAGTCCGGAAGTCCTCCTGGCAGAGGAGCACTGAGGCTGAGCAGTAGCTCTC